TATGGTGATTCTACACTTCATTTTTTGAGGAATCACCAGAGAATTTTTGCACTGTGGCTGCACCATTTCACATCTCTGCCAGCAGTGTGTGAGTTCTGGTGTCTTCACATCCTGGGCAACACGTGTTAAGTCTGTCTCAGATTCCAGGCATACCAGCGGGTGTGAAGTGGTGTCTTAGTCCATTTCGTGTTGCTGTAACAGAACACCTGAGACTGGGTAATTTATGAAGAAATAAAATTTATTGCTTTCAGTTTCAGAGACTGGGAAGTCCAAGGTCCAGGGAACACATCTGGGGAGTGCCATTTTCTGCAGTGATGCAGGGTGTCACATGGTGAATGGGCTGAGCTAGAGAGCACTAAGCTGCTCACTTGCTCTCCTTTCAAAGCCCTCAGAACCATGCCACGACTACATTATACCATCAGTGGATTAATCAACTTAAGAGGGCACAGTCCTCACAACCTAATCACCTCTTAAAGGCCCCATTTTGGGCCGGCCCGGTGGCACACTCGGTAGAGTGCGGCGCTTGGGAGTGCAGCAGCGCTCCCACTGAGGGTTCGGATCCCATATAGAGACCGGTTCCCGCTCGCTGGTTGAGCGCAGTGTGGGTGCAACACCGAGGGTTGCGATCCCGTTACCGGTCATGAAAAAAGACAAAAAGGAAAAAAAAAAAAAAAGGCCCATTTCAATGACCATAATGACATTTCCCACTCTTTTAACACTTTGATGGGGGGATTAAGTTTCCAATATATAAACCTTTGGGGGACACATCTGACCTACAGCAGGGGCTGAACTTGTCCTTTGGTCAGGAACCACTCCCACTATAATGACACTACATGGTGTGAGGTAAGGGTCCAAGTACATTCTTTCACATGTGAATATCCAGTTTGGGGAAGATGTACTTTTATGCCAAACAAAATCAAGTCATGCTTTACAGGCCGAATCATTTGTTGAGGGCCCCACCTGAGGCCCACATCCCCAACTTCCCACAGACAGGTCTGTGATCTGGGGGCCCTCTGCTCTAAGAATGACAGACCCTGATCACCTTCACACATAACAGACAGAACAAGAAAGGGAGGCAGTCCAGCAGAGGCCAGGCCCCCTCAGTGTGCCCTGGGCCCCTCCCCAGTCCCCTACATCTAGCTCTGCCCTGTGATCTCAAACAACATAGTGAATTCCAAGCCTCACTCCCCATGTGTAAAGAATATAACAGTATTTGCCTCACATGGGGTACTGTCCAGATTTAATGAGAACATGGAAAAAAGTATGAGTTCGTCTTCCACCAATGACATTTAGATATCCCTGTTTCTGTGAAACCTTTCCTATTCCACAGGTAAGCTGAGCACACCTTCGTCTGTCTCCCAGTTATGACCTGTTGACACTTCCCAGAGCAGCTGGGGGTTTTGTAGCACTTGGTGACACTTCCTGCCTCACTGAGGCTGAGCCTTCCCTTCTCTCCCTGCAAGCTCTACCAAGCCGACTTCCACCCTGGGTCAGCACTGGGAAGCATCACTGGTGTGCATGAGTGTAGTGTGCCACGCCTGTAAAAATGCAGACTTCTAGGCTGTGGCAAATGCTGATGAGTGGGCTCAGAAAGGGCTGGGAATGTGTATTTTTATAAGCTCCCCAGTGATTTGGGTACTGTGGCTTTGAGAGCTGCACTGAGATGCACTGTTTTATCCACCTGGATTTTGACTGCCTTCTCCCCAATGAACTTTGTCTCCATCCCAGCCCAGCCATCTATTCCTGTGGCCACATAAAGGACCTTGCCACCCCCTGCAATGGCTCCACTTCCCGAATCTTCCTTTTAAACATCTCATACCAAGACCTCCTTCCCTGCTGATTCCCTCCCTGGGTTACTCCCATGAACCCCCAACTCACAGCCACCTACAGCCCCGTCCTGCTGTTTTCCCTGTTCCCAGCTCAATGAGGGATCCTGAGCCTGCTCTGCCCCCTCTGCAGGACCCCTACTCTCTTCTTAGGGAGACTGCCAGGCATCCTGAAGCTCTGCTTCCTGAAGGGTGGTCCTGGGGTCATCTCCATCAGATCTACCTGGGGGGCTTTGTGCAAAAGGCAGGCCCTGTCATCTACCCAGACCTGCCAAGCTGCTCTCCCATGGGGCCTGCTGTGTACATTAGAGGCCAGCAGGGCCTGCTTTGGCTGTCCTAGAAGGTTGACCTGAAAGGCAACCTACAGCTGGATGGTTGGCCCAGTGTGGGCCCTGGTGAGCAGCCTGTTGCAGAATAGAGAGGCACATGCAGGTCAGAGACAAGCTCTTCCTGGTCTCCTGCACTCTGGTCCCAGGCTCCTGGGGGCCATTCTGTTGTCTGTAATTAAAAGAGCATAACCGATGTGGAGTATAAATGTATTCACTAGCTTGAACCTACATCCTAGGGCAGCTTCGTTAACTTCATTAACTTCGAAGTTAACAGGGTCCATAACCCAACGGGGTGCTCACACGTTCTCCAAAGTCCTGGCTCACGTCTGCCTTTGCTGGCATGAGGTGTTGGAATGGCTTTAGTGCTGGAAGCTGAGTGTATCAAAAACTGTGCCCCCGCCCCCACCCTGTGTGAATAAGGGCAAGACACCAGCTGCGTCCTCACGCCCATGCCATGAGGGAACCTGTCCAGACATCAGCAGAGAGAGGATGGGTCCTGCCCTGTGCATACTGTTGGGCTGTGCCTGGAAGGGTGGAGTTCCAGAACTTTCTGGAAGGCAGGCAGGCCGTCTGACTGGTTTCGTGCCTGTGGGCTGACGAAGGTCCCACCACCCCTCCCGTTTTCTGGCTGTGGGGCTCCAACGCCCAGCACCTCCCCTCTCCAGAGAATAGAACATTCTCCAAAGAGCCTGGCAGGGCTGAAGCCAGGCTAGATCAGCTGTCTTGTCTCTCTCCTGAATAATTTCCCATTTTTTCCTTAAGTTAGCGTAAGTGAGTCTGAAGGACACAACACCAGCTGGGACTCGTCCCCTTGTGTCCTCAAGGAGCCCTCCTGACCAGCTGTCTTCTGGGAGCTGGGCAGCCTCTTCTCCCCAGCGCGACTCCCCCTCCTTCTCAGCAGGTGGCCGTACAGTCCCTTCAGAGAAGCCAGAGCCTGGGACGGACTCGTCACACCTGAGACATCGCCTGGGGCCACGTGCTCAGCAGCTGAGCCTGAACTGTTCACAAGTCTCCACACAGTCCACCCTCCAGGACTCAGTGTTCCCACCTCAGCCCCGCTCGGAGAAAGAAAGAATGAGGAAGTCGCTAAAAGGACAAAAAGAACATCGTTGTCCTCCCAAAACAAACGTTGTCCTCCCTTTCTTATTAAGCAGTCTCTCCCCATTCTCCCTGGTCCCTGCAGCCACCGCAACAACCAACCCACTTTGTCTCCAGGGACCTGCCATCGTGGACGTTTCACAGAACTGGAATCAGGGTTTGTGGCCTTCTGCGACTGGCTCCATTCTCTCAGCTCGTCTTCGGTGTCCCTCCAAGTCGTAGCAGGCACGAGTGCACCAGTATTTCATTCTTTTTTACAGCTGAGTAATATCCCACCACACGGAGACCACATTGGGTCTATCCGCTCATCTGCTGGTGGATATTTGGGGGGGGTCTCCGCGTTTTGACTATTGTCAGCGTTGCTGTCGTCACGTCGTCTGCATTTGTCTGTGTGGACCTCTGCTGCCGTTTCTCTTGGGTGCACACCTAGGAGAGGAATGTCTGGGCCATCTGGCAATTCTAGTCCAACTTTTTGAGGACCCAGCAGGCCGTGTTCCTAAGTGGCCGTGCAGTGTCACCTCCCTGGCAGTGTGTGACGGCTGCAGTCCCCGCACCCCTCCGGCCCTTATTTTTGTCTCTGATTCTGGCCGTCCCGCGGGTGTGAGGCGCGGTCTCGTCGCGGGTTTGGTTCGCATTTTCCTGATGACTAACGACGGCGTCTTTGCACGAGTGGCCGTGTTTTATTGACGCACACTTTCAGATACCCGGAGCACTGTCACTGGGCAGCTCTGGGGATGCTGCGGTGACCAGAGACGCAGCCCTGCTCCGCACAGCTCCAGGCCCAGAGCATAGGACGTGTCACCACACACGCAGCTGCTAACCCTGAGCTCAGGGAGATGGCCCGCAAGGTGTCCCCGAGCTCCAGCTCCGACAGGTCTGAAAGGCGAAGGCCGGGGCGCTGTCGCCTCCGATGGCGTCAGGCCCGAGTGCGGCGGCGTGTCGGGGCGGGTGTAGACGCTCTCCATGCCAGAGCGCGTCCGCAGAGGCGGCGGGACGCGGGGGCCGGGCTGCCCTGGTCGGCGGCGGCCGCGCGGCGGCGACAGGGATTGGACGACAAGGGCGTCCTGCAGGCGGGGGCGGCAACGCGCGGGGACGCG